AAAAAAAAAAAGGAAGGAAGAGGAAAGGGATCAGAATGAGAGAGAGCATTGGTTTTAAGATAAAAATACGGACATTAACCGGGCAGAATCTGAGCAGACATGAGAAATCAACAACGTGGAATGGATGAAAGCAATAGTCTATTCAGGACATCCCAAGAAAATGAAAAGTAAATCAAACTACAGTAGTCCAATAGAAACACATGTGTACGCTTTTTTAAAATGTAATTGTGATGCAGTCATCTATAGACAGTGATATAATGTTAGGATTTATATCCTGTGATTTACAACTGTACATTGTGACAGAAAAGAAGGAAAAAAGTGCAAGAAAAGACAAGGGGAAAAAAATAATCATAGCAACACATGATTAAATGCTTACAAAACAGGTACAAATTCAGAATCAGGGCTTTACAATGAAGGGACTATGACACCCCAACAGTACCATAGCCAAGTTAACATAGCAAAAGACTGACACACATATATTTTGTATTTGTGTTTGTCGATGTTTCAGCAGCCATCAACACAATTAAGATTAATTAGGAGGAGGGCTGCTTTGACTCTACCTGTCAGAGCCAACCTGGACTGATAGGAATACGATTTCTCCCCACACAGACGCTCGATAAAAAAAAAAAGAATCGCTCCACACATAAGACGTCTCTTTGCTACTGAATGCCTAAGCACTACAGGCAATAAAACACACACACATGATACAAGCATAAAATAAAGAACCCACCATTAAACATGTTATGGAAATCCCAGTACAAGACACACTATACATTCAACTACTGAAAAATACTCAACCTTCCGGAATTAATAATTAACAGTAGCCTACATTTTATGAATCATAACACATCTCTTTTTTAGTTTCAGTAATGTTAGCACACTGCTAATTTCCCACAGAGCAGACTAAAAAGTAGGAATTGTATTGTTACATAATTTTGTTTTTATATCAATACCCACTGCAAAAAGTTTTCTCAAATCCCAATTGAATAGTTTAATCAATTAGAAGGCAGCAAGCTGTTCCTTCATGGAGGGAGAAAGGCTATTGTTTTGGCATGAATTGACTTCATCCTCTACAGATTTTCTGGCCAACAGTAAATCAGACAATTGCTACAGTCACATTGCATTGCAGGGTCTGATCTTTCGTTTGTATATGGAAAGCGATAGGCCCTAAAAGTAAAAGGCATCCTTGTTAAATCTGATGTAAAACAACAGAAGTCCATCCCTTTAAATGGTCAGCCTTCTCTGCTTTACAATGACCCAAAGTGTAATGACATAAACAGGATGAAAAATGTTATCTTGTTTGTTTTAGTACAGGTTTTATGACGCTCGCAACTGCATAAGGTCATATGAGCGTCAGAAGATCAGAGGTGTTACAAGAGAATAACAAACATAAAAAAGAAGAAGGGGAGATAAGGACGATAGATGTTTGATAGGAAAGAAGGAGCAAACCACACCAGAGCACCCGCCAACCACCCACTGTTCAACTTCGAGGACTAAAGCTGATGGTAAGTTTAAAAAACAAACAAATATGGAAACTGCAGAGGATGACTATTAATAATATTAAAAATAATGAAATATTTTAACTTGACAAGAAGGCACACTGGTGTCCATATTTAACTTGAAAAGTAGGCACACTGGTGTCCGTATTTAACTTGACAAAAAGGCACACTGGTGTCAGCTTTAAAAAAAGAAAGAAAGGCAACTGGGAACACAGTACATTTGTTCTTTACACTTTCAACTTTCAGGTCTTGTTCATGCCGTATTATTTACACAAAATACATAGGTTGGTTACATACACAGATTTATATTTATTAAGTACTCATTATAATGTATACCATAAAAATAAGTTCCATGGTTTTGCATTTTATAAGAAAATCTTATTCTACAGGGTAACAATACTTTTCTAGTGGCATGATAAGACATGAAAGGTTTTCAAGGCTTTTGGTAGTTATAACAATAAAATATATAGCCCTGAGCCCTGTTCAGTGACAACATGAAAAAAAAATTGTTTTAAAAGGGGACAGAAAGCAAAGGGTATCAAGAGCACCGCTGTCATTTATATCATACTGGCGGTCATATTGATGACGTTACACTACAACCGTGTTACAGGAAATGTGACATGAATTGTATATAATGCCTTTCCCAAGGACACGGAAACAGACTGAACTTAAGGCTCAAACCCCCGAATCCGCAATCTCACCATTACGGGTCTGGTTTTCTAACCACTAGACTACAACTATAAACGCCAACAGCGTAACTCACTTCTAGAAGATTTTCAACAAATTTCTCGCCAAAATGAGTCGAATCGAGGCTTTCTTAGTCACCTGTAAGGCTGACAAAAAATATGTAAAAGCAGGAAAGGTGGGCTTGCCCCCTTAAGGAAGACAAAAATGTTGTTTGCCCACAAAACTTTATTACTATATTAATTTATAGTGGACGGCAACTCCCTGATTCTAGTAGTTGTAGAGAATTCACAGATTCAACTGTTATGACTTGTTTCTTTCCGTCACAGTTAGAGCATCTAACTCCATCTATATATATATA